ATAAAATGCCAAAACATCCCACAGTGTTGCTCATAGGTACAATTAGTACAAGTAAGAATATAAAGCACCATACATGAAAAAGTTGAGTTCCATTGAAAAAGAAAATCATCCCTTAGGGGTCTAGTGGTATATGTTGCGCTGGTTAAAAAAGTACCATAACCAGCGCCTGTTGGAAGTTATATAGAGAGAAAAGATTCTGCCAATATAATCTACTTCCCCCCTTAGAGTTCTGGACGCCCAACACTCCAAACGCAGAATGCTCTCTGCAGTGAATATTGCAAAGATATTCTGTAAATTGATGCTACAAAATTCTTACTCTCTTAGCAAACGGACAATAGTCTGAACATTGTAAAGGATTGTTCCATCATCGAGAAATTAAACCATTGAACTGTATGTGAACTTTTCCTTAATCAAATGAAACCAGAGCAGGAAAGAACAATTATAATAGGGAGCGTTTTCTTATTGCTTTGACGGATTGAGTAACATAAATGAAGGCGATGATAGCGCCAGAGAGCACCGGGATGTTTATTATTAAGAGAAGCAATAGCTTTCCATTAGCTTGTGTCATTTTATCCACAAATCAGATGTTTATTACAGAAAAGGGATTAATTCTATTCTTCATTCCCTTAGGGAAAAAAAAAAAAACCATCTCACTTCTTCCAGTACATACAATGGTCAGTAATGCTTCTCTGGAACATTTTAACAACTCAGCATTTTACTGCAAGGGCTCTTAGTTTGGTTGTTTTGTGTGACAAGAATTAAGCAAATATGTGAGTCTGTCAGGATTTCTAATTGATCCAGCATGCAGAACTGTATCACACCTAGGACTAAAGGTAATGTCTTCCCGGGCCTTAGAATGGCTGGACTTAACGTACCAGAAAATAGTCAGAATACTTGCCGAGGTCGAGGACACAGAATGAGACACAATGATGGGGTAGAGCCAAAAGTCAGGGATATCAGAATACAGGGAAGTCAAAACGAAGCCAAAGTCAATAGCCAGAAATAAACGCTCAGGAACAAACTCTCGGACAACCACTAAAGGAAACAATTACTGCAGATACCGCAAGGTGATGGTGAATATGTTACAGAGTCATAACAAGAAATATAAAACAATCTAGCACTTATGGTACTTTTATCTTACAATCTTACTTTTAACTTACAATCTGTAGGATTTGGCATACATAATAACCCTTGCTCCTGTGAATTGTGTTTGTTTTGCAGTTATACCGACTCAAAGAGTAACCAATCAGATTCTGTAATTGGGACTTTTTAATTATCTACCAGAGATATACTGGCTACCACGAGGAATCTATTCCAGTGCTGAAAACAAAGTAAGTAGTAATTGTATTACAATTACTACACTGGAGAGCATCAGAGTCCGGCGGGTGCCCAGGTAAGGGAGCAACCCGTTGCTAATTGGTTTGCCTTATTAATGGGCATCCAGGCCAGGGTGCTCCTAGCATAATAACCACCAGCGGGCTTTAGTAGTTATAATGCTTGGAGTAACCCTTTAAATTTCTGAACACTTTAGGGCCAGAAAAGTATTGGTCTAATTTCTCTCCTTGTACCCTAAATGACTTGACTTGGGCAGACAAAATGCATTTTCAGAAAGTCATAACCTGCCTACTGTGTGAAATCGGCACTTTTATAAACTGTCATTATTATGGGATACTCCTTACCCAGAAAGAACGTCAGCTTTATGGGTGTGGAGTGGCCTGGGTAACACGTTCATTATTCGAGATTTAAGTACCATAAATTGGGATAGAGGGACGAGTAGTTCAGCAGGGAATTAGGTTTTTGACCGTGTTAAATTACATCTTCATCAAAAGAAAGGATAACGGCACTCCAAAGGTTCAATTTCAGGCAATTTATTGATAAAGACCACACTGATCTAAATGTTGTTTTGCACTTTCTGGTGACAATAAATTGACTGAAATTGAACCTTTGGAGTGTCCTTATCCTTTATTTTGAAGTATTACATTTGGGATTTGGTGCTGAACCCGGATCTGGTTGCACCCTGGTTCTAAGGTTGGAAGACTGAGTGCAGTTCCTGTGTTACATTGAAAATTACATCTTCATGTCACAACTGGTGCAAGCACCAACTAGAAAGGATCCATGTCTGGATCTGGTTATAACAAACAACATAGAGTTTTTGCCAACATTCAAGTAAGGGAGTACTTGGGATATAGTTATCATATTATGGTGTCTTTTGAAATAATCTCAAAATAAACAAAAGCACATTGGGTATACGAAAACATGTCATTTTAAAAAGGCCAATTTCAAAAAGATATGGGCAGCTTTACAACATATTGCCTGGCATAAACTCTTTAATGAAAAAAACAATAAAGATAAATGGAATATCTTCAAACATATTTAAGAAAGGTAGTAATAAATATAAAAGAAACAAATCGAAAGCAATGTAGCTTTGTGGGAAAGTAGACCAAGAGATTAAAAATAAGAAAAGGGCATTTAAATCTGACAAGTGAGAGGCATCCTATATACGATATAAAGAAGCCAATAATGCATGCAAAAAGGCAACTAGAGTGGCTAAACTAGAAAACAAAAAAGTCATAGCCAAAGAGAGAAAAAACAATCCCATCATTTTTTTAAATACACTGAAAAAAAAAAAGATGTGTGTGTTAATGAAGACCAGGAAAAGGCAGAAATGTTTAATATTTATTATCAGTGTATATTAAAGGGACACTAGTCACCTAAACAACTTTAGCTTAAAGGACCACTATAGTGCCAGGAAAACATACTCGTTTTCCTGGCACTATAGTGCCCTGAGGGTGCCCCCACCCTCAGGGACCACCTCCCGCCCGGCTCTGGAAGGGGGAAAGGGGTAAAAACTTACCTTTTTCCAGCGCTGGGCGGAGAGCTCTCCTCCTTCGTTTCCTCCAGCGCTGGCGCACGCGGGCAAGGCCCAGTTGCAAGGAAAGCCTACAAGCATTTTATGGACGCTGGCAGTCCTGTGAAAATCCTCAATGAGACAGCCACTAGAGGATTAGGGGGAAGGCTTAACCCATTCATAAACATAGCAGTTTCTCTGAAACTGCTATGTTTATTAAAAAATGGGTTAACCCTAGAAGGACCTGGCACCCAGACCACTTTTTAAGCTGAAGTGGTCTGGGTGCCTAGAGTGGTCCTTTAATGAAGCAGTTTTTGTGTGTAGATCATGCCTCTCGGGTTTCACTGCTCAATTCACCACCATTTAGGAGTTAAATCACTTTGTTTCTGTTTATGCAGCCCTTGTCACACCTCTCCTGTCTCTGTTTGACACAGCCTGGTTTCACTTTCAATCAAATGTAATTTACCTTAAACATTTTTATCTCTTGCACTGTAAATTGAACTTTAATTACATACAAGAGCTTTTAACACAGCAGGGGATAAGAAAATCTAAATTAAACAGAACTTGCAATAAAGGAAGGATAAACATTAGATGACTCTTTACAGGAAGTGTGTATGAAGGCTGTGCAAGTCACATACAGGGAGGTGTGACTAGGGTTCATAAACAAAGTAATTTAACTCATAAATGGCAAAGAATTGAGCAGTGAGACTGCAGGTGCGTGATCTATACCTATACACCAAAACTGTTTCATTAAGCTAAAAATGTTTTGGTGACTATGGATGTGTAAATTATTGCTGCACAAAACTTGCAGAAAGATTCTGATTGGATGACTCAAGACAAGGTGCTAGAGCAGCTAAAGAAAGTTAATGTAAACAACGTTCCGGGGCCAAAAAGTATTCACCCATAAGTACTTAAGGAGCTAAGTGTGGAAATATGTAAACCTTTAACCCTTCAATAATCAGCATAGTTTTATGAAACATAAGTCATCTCAAACAAACCTAATTGCATTCTATGAAGAAGTAAGTAGAAGTATAGATCAGGGATTTGTAGTGGATGTAATCTACCTGGATTTTGCCAAGAAGTTTGACACGGTTCCTCACAATAGGTTGGTGTTCAAGTTAAAAGAAATTGGTCTAAATAAAAATTCTTGTTTTTGGGTAGAACATGGAAGATAGAGTACAGAGCGTTGTCATTAATGGTAAATTTTCAAGATGGACAAAGCTGGTAATTGGTGTCCGTCAGGGTTCTGATGTATTCAACATATTTATAAATGATCTTGAAATAGGCATTGAAAGCCATGTTTCAATATTTGCAGATGACACAAAACTCTGTAAAGTAATACATTGTGAGCAGGATATTGCTTTGCTGCAGAGGGATTTAGATAGATTGGGGGACTGGGCACTCAAATGGCAGATGAAATTTAATGTAGGAAAATGCAATTAGTTAGGCACTTCGGAGTAAATAATGCACAAGCAACTTACACCCTAAATGGTAGTGAATTAGGGATAAAAAAAAAATAGAAGGATTTGGGAATTTTTATAGACAAAAAAAAACAAAAAAAAAACAGGCAACAATGTGTAATGTCAATCAACAGTTGCAAATAATGTATTGTCATGTATAAATAGGGACATGGATTCTAGGGATGAAAATATCATTTTGCCTCTTTATAAATCATTGATAAGACCACACCTTGAATATGCTGTGCAATTTTGGGAACCTGTTCTAAAGAAGGATATTATGGCACTAGAAAAAGTGCAGAAGCAGGCTACAAAATTGATAAAAGCAACAGAGCATTTTAGTTATGAAGAAAGGTTAACAAATTGAAATCTCTTTAGTTTGGAAAAAAGCACCTCAGAATGGATATGATAGCCTTATACAAATATATCCAGGGCCAATACAAACCACTGTCTGGAAATGTATTCATAAACAGGACTATACGCTGGACAAAAGGTCACATATTTACATACAAAGAAAAGATTTCGTTTTTTTACAGTAAGGATGTGGAACTTTCTGCCTGAATAGGTAGTTTTATGGGAGTCTATATAGATGTTTAAACATCAATTGGATAAATACTTGCAAAAACATAATACACACCCAAAAAAAGTTCACACACTCTAATATTTCGTTGGACCGCCTTTAGTTTTGATTACAGCACGCATTCGCTGTGGCATTGTTTCGATAAGCTTTTGCAATGTCACAAGATTTATTTCCGTCCAGTGTTGCATTAATTTTTCACCAAGATCTTGTATTGATGGGAGAGTCGGACTACTACGCGAAGCCTTCTCCAGCACATCCCAAAGATTCTCAATGGGGTTAAGGTGTGGACTCTGTGGTGACCAATCCATGTGTGAAAATTATGTATCATGCTCTCTGAACCACTCTTTCACAATGAATCCTGACATTGTCATCTCGGAATATGCTTGTGCCAATGGTGAAGAAAAAATCCATTGACGGAATAACCTAGTCATTCAGTATATCCAGGTAGTCAGCTGACCTTATTCTTTGGGCACATAATGTTGCTGAACCTAGACCTGACAAACTGCAGCAACCCAAGAGGCGTGTACAGTACGCACTAGGCATGATGGCTGCATCACTTCATCTGCCTCTCTTCTTACCCAAATGCACCCATCACTCTGGAACAGGGTACATCTGGACTCATCAGACCACATGACCTTCTTCCATTTCTCTAGAGTCCAATCTTTATGCTCCCTAGCAAATTGAGGCCTCTTTTTCCGATTAACCTCATTGATTAGTGGTTTTCTTAAGGCTACACAGCTGTTGAGACCCAATCCCTTGAGTTCCCTTTGCATTGTGCGTGTGGAAATGCTCTTACTTTCACTATTAAACATAGCTCTGAGTTCTACTGTTGTTTTTCTACGATTTGATTTCACCAAATGTTAAGTGATCGCCGATCACAATCAATCAGGATTTTTTTTCCGACCACATTTCTTCCTCGAAGACGATGGATCCCCACTATCCTTCCAATTTTTAATAATGCGTTCTTATCCCAATTTTAGTAGTTTCTGCAATCTCCTTAGATGTTTTCTCTGCTTGATGCATGCCAATGATTTGACCCTTCTCAAACAGACTAACATATTTTCCACGACCACGGGATGTGTCTTTGGACATGGTTGTTTAAGAAATGAGAAGCTACACATTGCATCAGTTGGGGTTAAATACCTTGTTGCCAGCTGAAAGATAATCGCCCATGCAGTAACTATCCAATAGGAGGCTCTTACCTATTTGCTTAGTTAAATCCAGGTGGCGACTTTAATTTTTAATTAGTGGGGTAATAGCTTCTTGATCCAAGAACATATCTTACTGCCATTCTTGGGTCAAGAATGAATTTTTCCCTAGTTCGTTGCAAAATTAGAAGCACTTCAGTCTGTTTCCCCCCCCCCCCTCCTTTTTGATCAAAAGAAAAAACAGATGTGAGAAAAGTTGAACTTGATGGACCCATGTCTCTTTTAAAACTTTTTGTACTTTAGACCACTTTTTACAGCAGAATGCTTTGATAACTTCCACCAATGAACGGATACAGGCACCTACGTATGTTGTGGCCTATGCAAAAAGGGAGTGCTTAACGATTCCTTTTAAGTTAAATATTCAGGGAATTATACATCCTAATCATTTTGAAATCAGTAGCATTAGCATATTACTTACATGGAAGATTCTACTCCATTATCACCTCTTCCCCTGCTATACTGCAGGACTCCTCTTCTGCGGCACCAGGCTTTAGGACATGGACAGCGCAGTGGAATGTGTTGCCACTTTATCAATAATGTATAATAATAATGGTTTACAATAGTTTTACAGAGCTTGTTATTTTGCAAGCTTACTTAGGCGACGTGAAATACAATTACCTTTCATTATAGATAATGAGGCATGCCTGTGAAAGGTTTTTGAAGCCCTACAGCAATTAACTTATTTAGAGATGTGGTGGACATTTATACATATGCAATGTCAAATTCAGTATGTGACTTTATATATTAATAATGGTGTTTAACCCCTTAAGGACCAAACTTCGGGAATAAAAGGGAATCGTGACATGTCACACATGTCAAGTGTCCTTAAGGGGTTAAAGTGACATCAACCACCACCGTGAATATAATTAAGGGTGACACAGGAATCAGTATGCAAACATTATACACAGAATTCTTACAATGCACATATCAAAACATATAGGCACCTGCCACGTATAACATCTTATGGCTGGAATGAAAAACCTGTACATTTACAAGAAAGCTATGGAGGCCCATTGTGCTGCAGGTGAACTCATGTGAACTTTACAATTACACAAACACATTTCTGATGGAGTTGGCTCTGGGAACTGACAATTTATTAACAGCCTCAAAATAATATTAAAAATGATACAAATCAGCACAATGTGAGATTTAGCTTGTGGTCTTTGTCATATGAGTGAGGGGGAACCCCCCTCCGGCAAAACGAGGGGCATCGATTCTCTGCAGTTGAAACACGGGTACATCAGACTCTGCCATGTTCCTCTGTTTCTCCCTAAAAAGAAAAAAAAATAGTGAACTAAAATTCATGTACTAACATCAGTGCTCTAAGTTAGACATGGCTTTTGAACACGGTGACTACAGCTGATCTCTTACTCTGAGTTCTCCAAACTCTGGCCCTCCAGAAGTGAACTATGACTCCCAAGATTCTTTGAATGAAATAGATAGGTAGAGAATCATGGGAGTTGTAGTTCAGCCACATCTGGTGGGCTAGAGGTTGGTGAACCCTGTGACTTAACTAAGGCCAAACTAGCTAAATTGAATAAATAACCAAGATGGGTATTTTCACAAAAGAAATTCCCAAAAAGGGTTAAACGTCAGAGCCTTTAAGGACTAATAAATCCTTTAGAGACTAGTGGGTTAATAGTTGTGACTGTAGAATCTGAGCTAATTCAGAAAAAGCAACATGTATTGGTTCTGTGGCAAAGCCTATTGTTTTTCCTTTGCAATTACTGTTTTTGTTCTCACATACTGATCTGTCTGCTCCACAAGGATCATTAATTTCTGCTAATTATCCATCAACTGTTTATTGTAAGTAGTTATTTTATTGCCTCAGCTGCTAAAAATTTGCCAATGTAATCATTATTTTAGGTTTTAGTTAAGCTCTATGCTGCCAGCATGACTCTTGTAGTTAGTACTGCCAATCCCAGTCCCAGAGTATAACACAGCTTGTGTACTCACTGTCACTAATCACAGCTTGTGTCTGCAATGTACTCATTGCTAGCAATGTGCAGTTGGTGTACACGGCAGAGCTTATATACTCATTGCACCAATCACAGTGACACAGCTTCTACAATTCAACCAGGTACCGGGCAGCACTTAATTTCAATTTTCAGATCCTTTTCAGTCTAACACATCCGGGCTCCACCCATCACACCCTGCTTCTTGCTAGTGTAACCCACATCCATTTATTTTCCCCAATTGTTATGCTATCCATTCTGGTTCCATTTAATTACAGAAGGTTTACATGTTTTATTATATTGACCCAATCTGACTGTAACTGATTCTAATGTTAAAGTAAATGGTTAAGTGCTATACTGATCCTTTGTCTTATAGCCTCTGTGCCTGAATTATAAATGTACTCATTGATGACTGTACGTTACTAAAATGGATAAGAATGCTACAAAGGAAATGTTTAATAGATAAATAAATGAGACAAGTGCTCATCTTGCTCTTTAACTGTCATTGATAAAAGGCTATAAGAATGTATATAATAAAAGGATTTATATGAAAATATAGCAGTATTTTGTCAACTATTGGGATCTCAACAGAGAGAATATGAAAGCTCTGGATTGTTCTTATCCTTTTATAATGATAGTTTTGAGAGATGTTTCTATCCTTTTGTTCCCACACATGAAATAACCTGCCACAGAATATCAAATCTGCCACCATCTGCATCAATTCACCTTCAATCAAGAAGCAATTGCACATTGTTAATTTAGAATTGTGCGTGTAACAATGTATTGATAATTGCATTGTATATGTCTACTATTATATGTGTAACAATGTATTTGCAACTGCTCTTCAGGACATACTTGACAAGAGAAATCTCAAGGTGTCCTTCCTGTTACAATAATTACAAATACATATATTTTTATTTATGCAGAATACACTGCACAGGGCAATTATGTTTGTCTCATTCATTTTGAAATCCACTAACTCTTTACTTTACGCCATATTCTTGGGCCTTACTGTACAGATCTGCAAAATATAAGAAATATTTTAAAAATACTGGGGACTATGTTAAGAAAATGGTCAGATAGCTGACATAGGTTGAAAGATTCTTTAGTTTCAATGTATGCAAGACAGATTTAGATTGGTGGATTTCATACTGGTGTCTTACATTCTTGAAGGTGGTTCTGTTCCCCAAGAAATGTGGGGAACCAACAAAGCAGTTCACATTTTTAAGCCAAAAATAACTGATCTGGAAAAAGAGCCGAGTTTTGGACTATTTTTGCAACTACCTAGCAACACAAATAAAGTTTTATAGGTTGGAACATGAGAGAAGGGACACTGAATCATTAATTTCACATGTCACATGTGCCTTGTGAAATTAATTACAGGGCACATACTTGGACAGTTGTTCTTTGCGCTTCTGGTTAAGATATTTTTTCTTTATGTCCTGCAGCTCGTTGGCCAATCTCTCGATCTCATGCTTGTATTCCTCTGTCTGGGACTCATACATATGAATTTCTGATGAAAGAGCCTGTAAAGTAGCAATAATATTCAGTAAGGATTTAAAAGGAAGTTTTTACACTTTTGGCGTTAATATGCCCCTTTGAAAAGTAGTCATCGATACATCCAAGCCTCTATACATTCATACAACATACCTCTATCAATGTATCTGGCCATTAATCTCTGCAGTTTCTCTTCCCTGTAATCCTCAATCAGTCCATCCATCTATCTGTCTACCTGTCTCTCTTGTTGTCTTGAAGAGCCACCTGACTGGCGAAATGTATGTCAGGGCTCTGTTTTGCCGGTCTCATGTGTTTTTGACAGAGACATTGAAACCCATTTTGATACTAAGCTGGCCGGCTCATGCTTTTTGACCAGCAGTTAGTATTTCCTTCCTGTTCTTTGTCTTTCTTCTATGAGATCAGTTACTTTGCACAATGTAGGGTGAGTGTATTCAGAATAGAGGAGTCTCCTTGAGGTATATAAAACTAGGTGCCCTTGAAGACAAATATAGGGACACATATAGGGGACAAGCAGTGGTAGAGGGAATATTTTATTAATTATTCTTTGTATTCCTTTTTTCTTTTTTCTCTTTCTTTGCTGAGTTGACTGCATTGTTCCGCAATGTGTAAAGTGATCTTGTAGGCACCAAAACAACTTTATCTTAATTAATCAGTT